CTCCCTCCCCAGCCCCCCAACTTGTCCAGGGCTCTCAAGGTTTGCAGGGCTGCAGACAGAACTGGTTCTGAGTCCATAAGCTTGTAGGGACCTGTCCCCCCCCCCAACCCCAGTCTGTCTGTGGCCAGGAGCACAGGGCTTCCTCTTGTCTGGGGAACAGATGGCCCCCTCCCCCCCCAAGCAAGCAGAAAGGAGGCATTCCCAGGAGCCTCCAGCCCCGCCCCTGCCCTGCTCTGCGGCCTCCCAGGATCCCCCTCCCCTCCGCCCTCCTCCCTCACAGAGGCACTGAGCTGAGAAGTAGAGAAAACATCTGGGCCCCCCTGGGTGTCCTCAGCTGCACTGCTGGGCTCAGCCTCCCCTCCCCAGCTCCCCACTCCAGCTTGGATGGTCTCTCTGAGGTAGCGGGATAACTGATGGACAACACACTGCCTTGAGCCCCCTCCCCACCCCAGCCCCAGCCCTTCTGCTGACTAGCTCCTGGTCAGCGCCCAAGGGACACACTCCAGCTTGGAGAGCCTGGGACCAGAATGGAGATCCCGAGGCTGTGGGGGCCAGACCCTGGATCGGGAGCTCCACGGCCCTGGGTTCAAGCCTCGGGCTCCCTGGCTCACCCTGGGCCAGCCTAGTCCCCAAACATGCCCAAGTTTTCACCTGAGTCCAATGAAGGGCTTGGAGTTGATTGGTCACAGAGGTCCCGCCCCCAGAGAGTCGGGCTGCCCATCACCCCATGACAGAGTGAAGAGACTGTTATGTTTGGACCCCTGGAGACCCAAGTTCAAATCCTGCCTCAGGCACTTACTAGTTGGGTGGCTTTGGGCAAGTCATTTAACTTCTATCCCCTCAACTGTAAAATGGGAGGCATAATAGCACCCACCTCCCAGAGTTGGTGTGAGAAATTCAGTAAACTTCTACCACAACTGGAGAGACTTAGGTCCTGCCCTCAGGTAGCTTACACTCTATGGGAGTGGATTAGAAGGGGATAAATACAGTAAGTGTGAGCTCAGGTTTATAGAGCAGCCTGACTGCTGCTTTGCAAACAGGCTCCAGGCCTGTCTACTCTGGGGATTACTGTGCCAGTCTGGGAACCGGACTCTGGCCCCCCTTGGGTGGGGTCAGGGCTCTGCCCCTTTGCTATCTGTAAGAAGGCTGTGGGGCTCCAGCCTTTCCCTGCCAAAGGCTTCCCTTGCCCTCAGACAGGGAGGGCGCTGGAGTTGGCCTCCACATCCCAGGGCCTCCTCCCTTGGGGTCCAATTGTCTCCTCTGTAACCCTACTGTGCGTGTTTGAACGTGTGATTGGGAGAAGTCTCTCAGAGGCATCGCCATCCTGCCTGCCAGCCGAAGGGCCCCAGACACAGAACAGGGGAAGAGCCCCAGGGCCCGGGCATCCTCTGGCCTCTACACAGCCTCCTCCCAGTGGAGGTGCACACAGGACACTCAATGCAAAGAACAATGACTGTCAAGTCAAAGATCCTGGGTGAAATTCTCCAGCGCTCGCCTACCTGGCTGGCCTTGGGCACGGCATTCAATGTCTCCAAGCCTCAGTGTCCTCATCTGTAAAATGAGGAGGTGGGGCTAGATGGCGTCTGAGCTCCCTTCCAACTCTAAATCTGTGGTCTTCTCTGGGCTTTGGTCTCCTCTTCTGTGTAAAGACAAGATTGACCTCGATGACCCCGAAGGTCCCTTCTGACTTGGGTCCAAATCTTGGCTCTTCCAACTAACCTGGGTCGTCTTGGGAGATTCCTGCCCCATCTCTGGGCCTCGGTTTCTTCATCTGTAGAACAGGAGGAGTGACCTAGCTGACCTCCCGTGGCCTTTTCAGCTCCGAATCCGGGAGTCACTTCACTGTCTAGGCCTTGGCTTCCTCACGCGTGACGTGGCCTCTGAGACCGTGACCCTGCCCGTGGTCCCGTGGAAGGGAGATGCTCCACGAATCGTGTCTGGCTATTGGTTTGGGGTCGCTCGGCCGGCAGAGCCCTCTGGCCCACGTCCTTCTCTCCCCTTTCTCTTGCCTCTGCTGGGCCGTCGCTTGGGGCCTGGACCGTGGTCCAGCAGTGACTGACTGTCCTAGAATCACAGCGTGTCAGAGCCAGGAGGCTTCTCAGGGGTCACCTCACCAGCCCTCTCATTTTACACTGGAGGAAGCTAGGGCCCAGAGATGGGCGGTAACTTGCCTCAGGTCATACAGCAGGGTCATGGCAAAGCCTGAACTCAAACCCATCTCTCCTGACTCCGAAGGCTCTTTGCGGGGAGCTTAGCTACCCAGCTGACAGATGGAGGGTGTGCAGTGAGCCTGGAGTAACACGTGCAATCATGCAGGGTGTGTGAGGCCAGGCGGGGCTCTGGCTTCTGCAAAGACCCTGGTACTTTATCGAGAACTTGGTCAAAAGAAACTGAAGGCTACGGAGGCAGCCTCTACGGAGGCAGCCTCTCCCCTAGGGAGGCCCAGGCAGCTGCTGGTAAGGGAGACAAGGAAGAAGGCAGGCAGTGTTTGTGCTGATGCGTGTGTGTGCATACATGCTACAGACATGCGTGTGCACACGTGTGCATTGTGAATGGCGTCCTCTGGCAGTGGGGCTTCTCAGCACTCAGGAAGCTGCCACCTGCCCCTGTGCTGGGCCCTGAGGTTGAACACAGATGTAAGATGGACAGGTGTGTGGCATGCAGGGCCTCATGGGTAGAGGGGCTCACGTCGGGGCTCTGAATGGGTCTGGGAGCAGGGCCAAAGATTGAGGGCCAGGAGGGACATTACTGGTCACCTTGTTCAACTGACTCGTTTTACAGTAGGGAAAACTGAGTCCCAGAAAGGAGGAGGGACTTCAGGATCACAGCCAAACCTCTTATTTTACAAAGGAGGAAACTGAGACCCAGAGGGAGAAAGGAATTTCAAGATCATAAACTGAGACCCTTCACTTTAGAGACTCAGAGCGGGGCAAGTCACTGGTCCAAAGTCACACAGCTAACTGTTAAGAGGGAGAGCCAAGCTTCAACCCCAAGACCTCTGGTTCCTGATACAACTCTGGAACAACTCCCAGAGAGGCCAGGGAGTGGAGAGAAATGGTTGTACTTTTAAAAGAATTTCATTACATCAGACTGCTGACCTTAATACCTTAATCCCTCCAGTGGCCCCCTATTGCCTCTAAGTTAAAATTAAAAGTCCTCTGTTTGGCCCTTAAAAGCCCTCCCTAATCTGACTCTACTCAACCTTTCCAGCCTTATTACACATCCCTCTCCTTCATGCAGTCGATGTTGTAGCCAGATTGGCTTCCAGGCTGTAGAATACAACAAGCCCTCTCCCACTGCCATGTCTTTGAACTGGCTGTGCCTCATACCTGGAGTTCACTCACTCCTCCCTTCCAAGTCCTTAGCTTTCTTCCAAGCCCAGTGCAAAGGTTTCTTCCTACCCGAGGCCTGTTCAAGTCCCCAGAGCCGGCCTGTTGCAAACTCTACTTGCCCATCGTTGAAGCTAGAAGGGCTGAGCCAGGCCAGGCTAGATCTTGGGTTTCCTCTGGAACCACAGCCACTGACCCACTGGGTAAAGCTGTTGTCCATCCAGGCTCCATTGTCAGGACATCCTGGGGTGGGGGGCAAGCTTGGTCTCAGAACTTCCATCCATGTCCCCTTAGTCTTTGCTGTTTGACCCCTGGTCTAACCCCTGTTCGTGGATGAGGTCTTAGAGACCTTTACGTGTGGCCCCTCCCAGCAGAGGAGGTGCTCAGTCAGTGTTGTGTGAAGGAAGGAAGGAAGAAAGAGGAAGGATAGAAGGAGGGAGGGAATGAGGAAGGAGGGAAGGAATTTCTCCTCCAGGTTGCAGCATCTACTAGAAATCACTTTGTTTCCTGGGAATGCCAAGGCCTTCAGAACCTGCTGGGGATCCTCTCTCTCTCTCCTCTCTCTCTCTCTCTCTGTCTCTCTCTCTTCTCCATCCCCCCCCCCCCATCCTTGTGTCT